AACTACCTGACCCTTTATTATAATGTAAATATTTAATTTCTTTTTTATTTGGATTCAGTTTCTCATAGCGTTACTTAATAAAATACAGTTGTTCATAAACATATTTAGAAAGTTGGGTATCATTAAACTTATCTCGGGACATTGAGAAGGTCACGTTCTCGCAGCGCGTTGCAACCACATCGCGTTACCAGTTGAAGCAGTAATGAATCACGATTTATTCATCACGATAAAAGAAACCTAAACACACACGGCTAGAGCTTATGAACACATACAAACACAGTACTGGTCACAAGGCCTTGTGGAATAGTTGTGAATGGCAGAATATAGTCCAAGGCAGATTTTCCTAAAATGTAGTATAAAATAAATCTAAGAAATGTACAAAGAGTTTGAATTAGAGGAAACTGCAGGAGTGCACTTTACAGTGGCAGCGGAAACACTAATGCCATAACCTTATGCGTGTGCAGCAGGGACATGGCCACTCTGAAAATTTCGAGAGGGGTCCCGTAGTCCCACATAATCTTTTTTTTTAACTTCTTTTTAACTGATTGGCCATTTAGTGACAACTGTAACTTTTAACTTTGGGATAACGGTGGGGGAACACATACTAGCAACATACACAAACATCCATTCCCGGTCGTCATTCAAACCCACTACCCTTCAAGCCGAGCCAGCTATGGCCCTTCAGCCTTATCGAAATAAAACACTTTAATTCCGTAAATATTATCAATTCTTGATTTCTGCCCCGTCATTTTTAAGCCAACAAATTCGAGAATTGTTTATACATGGTATTTGGGAACGAGGCTCACCAAACCATTTGGCAACCCGGAATAAGGTTCAACATAAAATCAATTGTGTTTTAATCGTATCATTAAAATTATTTCATTCTTCTTGTAGTGTTTTATTTATTTACTAGTAAACCAAATCGAATCCAAATAAAAAGGTTTAATAGAAAAGGGGGCCCAGTGGGGGCAGAGGGACCCAGAACTGTAGGTAGTCACCCTCTTGATTTAGCATACGCACGTCTATAGAGTTTGTTTTTTGCGATATATATTCCGCGAACATATTGAGACGTACAGGTATAACATGATATACACGTGTTTAGTTAGGTAGTTAAAATCTGAACACTCTGAATGGAAGAATTTATGTTTTGTGGGCACTCGTTTGGGTTTTTTGGGCTCTGCGCATCAAGGAAAGTAACGTAGCTACAAAACAAAATAAAAAGCAATTGTGCTAATGTCTGTCATTACTTGGAACTTGCCGCCCATGCATAATTTATCACATATGTCTCGTCTAGTGGATGGCTAGCTTACGTTGCTCAAGGTGGACTCGCAAGCTGTACAAAGAAGAAAACAATCACCTACACAAGGATTAACGTTAAATTACGTAATTATCTGTCGATACAAAGAAATCAAACAAAATAGAGAAACTCAAGATCACGTGGCACGTAAAAATATATATAAATTACATTCCATTATTATGAATATTAAAAACCATGAATTTCATGCTTTCGCTTATGAAAAATATTTCAATATTAAAATTATATCAATAATGCATATAAATATTTGAACTCATTACAGAGACAAACGAGTCAATTATTATAAAAACTAAAGAGACTTAATTAGTACAAAAGAATTGGAATTTTTGGTCATTAAAAAAATAATATTCAATCGTTTAGTAAATTATTGAAACCTATATCTAAACTATATTTATTATTAATTACTTAATGCTGGAAACGACTTCTGTACATACAGCAGATGATTTTGTTATTGTTTCTGGGTGGGGAATTGTGCTCAAGAGTTTCTAATTCGTTAAATCACTTCATTACTGTTAGGGTGGTTTTGTGGCATGTGCACAAATCACAACCACTTTATAGAAAGTACGTCGTTGTCCATGAAATCGCTACATGCATCGTGTATCAAACCACAACCACATGCATCATTGTTATATTAATTACTGATTTCTCACTTGTTAATTCGCAAGCACGAGCACAAGGAAAATAAAAGTCATTTTGCAGGAGAATGGTTTTAACGTGAGCGGGGCTGTTTTTTTACAGCCGTAGGCAAAGAGTTTTACTCTATGTACCGGCTGTCCTGTGAACAAACTATAGATAATTCTACTACTAAAATATGCTGATTTATAAAAGTATTAAATATTTCATATTATATTTATTATTATTATTATTATTATTATAAATTAAATAGCTATTCTGTAACTAAAGTGGTCTATGGTACGAATCACAATGTTACGTAGACCACTTAAGAATTGGCTATTAATTAAAACCATCTGCCAATACTAAAGTGGTACTTTTATTATGCGGCAACTACAACGACAACTGACATATATACCAGTTTAGAAAGTACAGATGCTCACCTGTTCAAATCAACTTTACCATAACCTGAATTTTTGTCAAATGTTACGTAGACCACTTCAGTTCCAGGCCTGCCAAATACATTTCAATTCGTGTTCGGGGCGAAAACAGAGCTGTAGCTTTCCATTAAAATTGTCACAGTTTCTGTAGCAGCGCAACGAAAGAAAAGCTCAGGCGGGCGAAGTACGCTATTTATGGTGAAAGGAATGCGCCATGCTCACCGCATGTCTCTGTACCCCGAGGAGGGGATAATAAGAAAAAAGAGCCCTGGCCTGGGAAAACCGCTAGCTGGCAAAAGTCGGATTAACCCCTCAAATGACAAACACATACATTATATAACGATTTTTATATTACATACAGCAGATGATTTTGCATTTTTTCTTATTAAATATTTTTAAGTTGAAGGAACAAAGTTTTGTCCGTCAACTAAAAAATAATAATTCCCGACGAAATAATATATTTAGAAATATATGATTTAAACTCCATTCCCCTAATGATTCGCTACATTTTGTGTCTAAAACTCCCATGAATTTAGACAATTCATTCTGTTTGTTAATATTTTAAGAAGCTAAAAATAAAATGGTCATTTTTCCAAATAACTTTTACTGTAACCGACTACAATTATATTAATTACATCACTTTCATAATTCAACACATTTTCATAATTTACAATTTGTATTCTTTCCATGAGGCTGATACTCGTAGGTTTACACAACCTCCACGCAACGTATCAGAGGAGGCTTGCGACAAACTGCATTAGGAGGCTCATTTTCTCAAGTTTGATCTGTTACGAGCCACTTCCGCAGCATGCGAGCGGAGATGATGCAAACTCATCTTTCACAGCCAACACTCACGACCCTAACCAAACAGAATGGAGGAGGGGCTTTTGAGTCAGATTTCCACCACTGCGCAAATGAACCATTCGATAAGCGACACCAGCGAAAAGGCAAACCGCCAGCGGCAGCTCAATGGGTGGCATCAATCAATTCGTAAAGCCCAAATATGCTCCTATCAAATTTCTCAGCTTTTAAATTCTTACTTCTTTATGGATTAGTTCCGTATTAAGAAACTAAAGCACAAAAGGAATTAGATAAAATAACACTTAAAAGTAAAATATATTGCGTGATATAAAATTTACAATTTTCCTTACATGTCGGGAGAAATCTTTTCTAAAATGTTATTTTCGCGTTAATAAATTTACACAATACGGCAACCGCAGTATTCTTATCAAGATAATCAGTTATCAAGCAAGAGGTGTTATCAATGGCTTGTCCTTTCAATGCGCATTCACGAAGGCAGCCCACGTGCGCGTACAAGGGAAGCGAGTCGTTGCGAGTGCGAGTGGTTGACATTGGCCACTTCCTCGCTCTGACACATCTCAATCGCCTCCAACAGCGCCCTTCCCCTCCCACTGTCATTTCCCCGAGCGAAAGTGGCGACTGATTACCAAAGAACGACGACTTGGTTTTACCACACAATTACAAAATAAGAAATAATGCCTTACACAGCAACGTGGACTGCACTTTGGTTTCCCTTTCATCAGTAAACAGTAATATTTGGTAACAACCGCGCTTCCCGTTGGATTCAACCGCACAGTCATAGCTGAAAAAGCTAACTCATAAAGAGAACTAACGGGAATGTTCATTTCCTGAGAAAATCGTATTCCTTTTCAATTAATTTTTAAAAAATCTGGCGGAAGATAACACGCATAACGTTCCAGTACGAAATGCAGAGATCAATTTAGAAAATGCCAATGATAACGATTTTTTAACTGTTTTCCTCCGAATTAATGAGTGTTTTCAAGGCAGCAGGTTTCGCAGCTCCACCGCAATTAATGATGAGATCCATCACCTGCTTACACGCCGGCTAGCGGTGGATTTCTCCCTCTAGGTATCTCCCATAGCGGGGCACCGCCCAAGCCGGGACACGCTCTCCGCTCCCGACATATGTGATAGAGCAGTGCATGTGAGTGTACGTGTGTCTAAAGAGTGAGAATAGGGCAACGAAATGAAAGGAAAGATCTCGCGCGCTTTGTGGCCCGTTTGTTAGGGTACTGCTTCGGTATTACCCTGGTGTTGTTCGGAGAAACCACAGAAAACTACCGATCAGAGCAGGCGGCAGCTCGAATTCTCCTCTAGACAGACTGAATTTTTAGCCTCAAAATATGTAGCTAGTGTCCAAAATCCATCGGACTCAAACCCTAGGACTTCCCGGTCAGAGTCGCTGCAAAGACAGAAGCAATGCTGTCTCTCGGCTACACCCAGCCCGTTCTGCTACTGGATTCCTGACGCTTGCCGATTCTTTCGATCAATGGGGAATAAGCTACATGGGGGATTGGCCCCAAGGACGAAAATAATGTGTGCATTAAAAAGAAAGAAAGAAAGAAAGATTCGGGAGCGGTCAGTAGAACGTTGTTGAGGGGCTACTGATCAGGCATCCAGCTAGAATGGATTCGAAAAGTCGTCACGAACAACCGATTAAAGCAGCCAACCATTAGAATTCCCACACCTAGGCAGCTACTTAGTAGCTGGCATCGGAGAGCCTGTACGAGGCGCGAGACGCATTCAATTGCAGGAATCAACCAGAAACGCGTTTGCACTGGAAAAGCCGAATGCGACTGGTTAGCACTTACGCGTCTTGCCGGCGACGAGCGTGGCGGCCGAGACGACGTTGATGGAGTAGACCAGGCCGTGGTGGTTGTAGCTCATGGTGAAGCCGGGCAGAATGCCCGCGTAGCACAGCGAGGTGAAGCGCTCCTCCGCGTCTTTCCAGCGGCCCTGCGGCAGCCCCGGCTCGGGCAGCACGTGCGCCGACACCAGGTAGAAGTGGTTCAGCGTCGGCGACAGCGCGTCCTCCGTGTGGCCCAGCAGCTCCTGTGGACGGCGCGCCGCTTTGTTGTCGGTGCATCCAACATATCGCACACGGGACCCTTTACCCACCTCCCAATACGGGGCGTGATGTTCAAAACTGTGCTTGTGTAACGTCGTGATTTCCCACCACATGCAAAAAGTGATCATTTTCGAAACTGCACATTAGTCTAGAAGTTTATAACATTTATTCTGAGACACTGTGTCGAATGAACAGCTAATATTGTTTTTTCCATTTATAATTTTAAAATTTCGTTCATAAATTAAGTCATTCGCATCCTGTGGACGGCGCGCCACTTTGTTGTCGGTGCATCCAACATATCGCACACGGAACCCTTTACCCACCTCCCAATACGGGGCGTGATGTTCAAAACTGCGCATGTGTAACGTCGTGATTTCTCACCACATGCAAAAAGTGATCATTTTCGAAACTGCACATTGGTCTAGAAGTTTATAACCTTTATTCTGAGATACTGTGTAGAATGAACAGCTAATATTGTTTTTTTCATTCCTAATTTTAATATTTCGTTCATAAATTCAGTCATTCGCATACTGTGGACGCCGCGCCGCTATTAAAATACACACGTTTCAGAGCCATAAGTTACTGTGCTCTCTACCAAAGATCCAGACAGGTGGATTTTTGTTTTAATATTCTTACTCTAAAGTAGTGGGTTTAATTTATTGATTATCTGTTGACGTCTTATCATTTTTGACAAAATATCTACTTGATCTGAACCTTCTTCACTTAAAAAAACTAAACTGATGTGTGAAAGAAAAAAGCGCAAAATTGGATAATTTAATAATTATTATAATTAAATTTTCAATGAAATGACTGACATCATAGCTAATACTTAGCGCTTTGTTGTCGGTGCATCCAACATCACACACGGGATCCTTTACCCACCTCCCAATACGGGGCACGATGTTCAAAACTGCGCATGTGAAACTTCGTTGTACGAGATTTCCCACCACATGCAAAAAGCGGTAATTTTTGAAATTCCACATTGCACATAGAATGAACAGCTAATATTGTTTTTTTCATTTCTAATTTTAATATTTCGTTCATAAATTCAGGCATATGCATTGCATAATCGATTAATTGATTCATTCACTCACTCATTATAGAAAATGATTCAAAATTGCTTTCGGACCCGCGATGGAATTTTTGTTATCCATGATGATGTTATTTCAGCAAAAAGAAACTTGGAAATTGTCGTTTTGAAATTCTTAAAAAAAAAATAATGGTAATGAAAAGTGACAGGATTATAAAACACTGCCTTACGATAGGATGCGTGATCCACATGCTGAAATTTAATTGCTGCACGAAAATGTACGCCTTAGTTGGAAAGACCCATGCTTTAGACTATCCATGTCAATGTCGCGGGCAAGGTAACTAGCTCTCTAGTGTGAGCTGGAATTGCATCCTGTGTGTTTGCTGCGAAATTTAAAAGCATGGGTCGTATATACTTCTCTGATGTGTCTGTACGTCACTGAACAACTGGCCCATGACAATCGTTTGGAAAAGGCAGTTGACAATTATTACTTCCTCAAATTTGGAGATATTAATTCCGATTTCCTCTACTAAAACAACCAATTTACCATTACAAAACAAATACATCGGTAATATTTTATTTCATTAATGTGTGTAAAATAAAACATTTTTAATTGAAAGGATCTTGATTTTGAATTCGCATTTACTTCAGAGTGTAATAACTTCTCACGTTCAGATTAAGAATAAAGACAGTTAAAGGAGCTGTCCGTCCATACGAGTGATGTAAATCTAAAAAGATGTATTACAACAGATGACACAAATTTATATTTTTTCACTATTCATTATTGCTGTATACTATAAATAACAATCACTTGTTAAAACAAAACCCAAAACGAAACACAATTTTCCATTTCAAGCAGAGTCAAGTTAAGGGAAGTTACCCGTGCTCTCAGGTGGGCAAGTTCTGTCCGACAGTGACCAAAGGTCACGGGTTGGTAGGAGCGAGGGACACTGCCATCCAATCCGGAGCTTCGTTACGACTTCAATGTTTGGTACTGGAGCTCCCGATTGGATGCTACATGTCCTATCATTATAGCTCCTGACCTTGGGGAGTCTATATTTAAATCTGTCAATGGCTCGTGCGGTTTGGTTCACCTTTTTTCGCCACCACGCGCACGAAAATGCGGACGAAATTATGAGTGTTGTGCGGCCACAGCGCTAAGCGCGAGGCTGTTCGCCGTTTTTCCCCAGAGCCGTCGCGCTGGTCCAAGGAAAGACTTCCCCTTCGCAGCGCCGATTTGGCGCTCACACACCGAGTGTGGACAGTTTTGTGTTCGTCTGAGACAGAAATACACTTGCGATTTTGCGACACCCGGATATCACGCACGACTTACCCTAACGTCATGCAGTTGACTTTCAGAGGTCCGAAGGAAATTTTGAATCACCTGTATCAGAAGCTGAATGGATTATTGCTTAGTTTACATTCCCATTTATTTAATGTATTGAGATAATTAAAAATAAGAACCAGCCATCAGCATTGTATCCTACACCTCCATAGGATCTAGAAACCACTTTTCGACTTTCTGGTACCCTTGCTTTAATTCTAACAGCGACGGCTATGCTACCAAACTATTATTCTATTGTTGCGACATTAGTTTGCTGGGCGTTGGCTGGTTCAGGAAAGTTTCGTTCAAAATATTCATAACATGAATTGAAGACCTTCGCTCTAAATACATACATTCAACAAAAAGAAGATAACCCTATTTACGTACTCGCCTTAACGAGTATTACGTTTTGTACGAGTATTGAAGTGCTGTTAAAACAAATGATGCTGTCTTATGGAGACATTTCTGCTCTACTTTGTAACAAGGAATGCTAAATTTAAAACTTTATCTGCTTATTTCTCATAATGAACTCGATGAAGCATAGGATTATATTGAACAAAGCTGTTCAATTATTAAAACTGCCATGGATTAATAAATCATATTTGTTCAAAATAATTTATATTAATTGCTGATCAAAATATTTTAAGAATATGTTAACATAAAGTTAAATATAATAACAATTATAAAATAAATACTAAATTTCAAATAATACTAAAAATTATGAACAAATTAATTATATGAAAACAAATTATTTGAAAAAAAAAAGAAAGCCGACATTTCATTCAAATTGAAAGCCATTAATTCGGTCAGTCAGTCGTCAACAAACTTTAAATAACCTGCCCAAAATGGTTATAAATTTTTTGCTACCATTTCCAACCTTCTCCTTTACCTTGTTAATCTTTGGTAAAATGTGACACAATTTCCAACCTTCGCGTTATCAAGCGTTGTAATGGCGAACAGATTGTTTCGACTTTAACGTCGAACCGTATCTATTTAGCATTATATTCATGGCTAGTGAATTCCTATGTGAAGGGGAGGAGTAGTTGGGAAACCTTGCTCAGTGATTACTGCATTTAGTACACAGCTGATAACTGTGTGTTACGAAAGGAGACTTGGAACAACAAAAATACATTTTTTGTTCCGCGAATACTAATTAGCCCTAGCTTTACCGAAAAAAAGTAGCTAAAACAATATACACAATACCTGTCCAAGGACGTAAAATCCATTTCGTCATTTAAGATAAATAAAAATTACGTTTTCTTCACATAATGCATTATAGTGCAAATTCATGTCTCTATGTGGTCGTTCCGTTAAGGTGATCTATGAAGGCTACAGAAAGTGTAGCGATGTGTATTGCAACCTTCTAAACGAGAAAGAAAATGGTAGTATTATGACGTGACTCGCAAATTCTGCTTACATTTCTGTTCTATTAATAATAGGAACAAAACTTTCAGTTTTTTCGAGATCGAAACGGCGCGTAAATCTCTGGACTTTTGTTTACTTAACAATCTATTCCACCTGCTTGTGTTTGGGCACCCAAAAAATACAATTCAAAATTTGTCAACTTTTCTTGCTAGAATTTCAATAACTAAAGCGAGTTGGAAAATAATGATTACGGAGAACAATGCCATCTTCTATCTTGAGTATCTATGATCTGCCCCATACGTCATATACAGTTTTTACTGTTCTTTGACAAAAAATTAAATCTTTATCAGAGAATGGTTATACCCGAACGATGATTTTCAGATTCATGATGACCGTCCTCAAAGTACTTACGTTTGAAAGGAGCGTGTAACGTGGTTGTCTGGGAGCGCCAGCAACTTTAGTTAAAGAGATCCGAGGATTACCTGTTCCACATCCGCAAAATGGTGGTTTTGTCTGATAATGACCGATGTTGAAAGAAATACAAAAAACATGCTGTCAAGCTTCAATATATCAGAAATATTTCATCAAACTGTCACAGTATCATCGTATCATCACTATCACTTTCAATTTACTCTCCAGAACAGGAAGGAGGTAGATAGAGTGCAGAATTTAATGTTTTGGGTAAATCCTTCCTCCTAGCGCGCACTAACTTACTAACTTTTATACATCCTATTGCGTGCCTGAACTGCACATTATAGCTTATCAGAGAGGTATCTAGTTCGAGCGCCTGGAATATTAAAAAGCATGAAAATCAGAGCTCTCTAAGTTTTACTACCACCAAATAAAAAGAAATGCTTTTGAAAAACAACAAAATAAAGGATATAATAGTTTTATCCAGGTTGACACCAGAGATTTCCCAGTCAACAGTACTCCATTTCCAATTGCCCCAACCACATTCGCGACTCAGACGGTTGTTAAATTGGGTCGAACTAATATCACAGAAAACCCAGGCTGCAGTGGCGACAACACAACGAAAAACGCAGGCATCCGCGGTCACAAGCAACGACATCTCACCGAGAACAAATAGTGTAAACGTGTGTGCAAGCAACAGGAAATGACTGCGTATCAGATAACAACATGGAGGGTTCACGAAGTAAAATGCAAGTCAGACGAAATGTAAAGGGGCGTCATGAGAAAGACTGTGTTTGCCAAACCATTTTAGTCACCTAATTCAGAATTAGATCTACCATCCAATAATGGAACCG